TGTGATGTTCCACTATAATTTATAATTAATTTTAACTAATTTATTTTAAGAATGAACAATCTGATAATATCAGTAACAATCTGGGCTGCATACGAAAAAAGACTGTATGTACATTTATACACAATTTATTTTGCATTGTTAATATCACGTCCTACTATTTACTACACTACTATCTTTTGGAGATTCCTTCTACACTATTCTAGAATAACAAAGTTAAGACAATGACAATGAGGTATAAAAAGTAAAAACCCAATGGGAAAAACCTTCGTTTATAGAAATTTTAAAACAGCTATAGAGTTTTTAAGGGTATATAAAGAGCACATATCAATTTTTAAGATACTTATTCCTTTAAGTGGGATATTTATAGTTTTACTAAAAATGGAATGATAAAAATATTAAGAAAATTTGGGGAAATTACAATCATAAGTCAACTATACATATAATCATCGGCAGAATTAATTGTGTAATACATATATTCTTATAGAAAAAACAATTGAGTCTTTTCTTACTTTTAAAAGAACTAAAAGCCATATTTTATCTTTCCACTCTATCAAAAAACTATAAATTAATTTAAAAATATTAAGAATTACAAAAGTAATCCTCTGAAAGGGGGAATTGCTGAATTTCTGAAGAGCACAATAAAAAAACGGAATCAAAATAAGGAATGCTGTCACCAGAAAGGCTAATATATAGTCCGCAAAGCATAAAGCAGAGTGCATGCTGATTTTCTAACCAAATATATTAATGGCACTTTCATGATTATGCCCTAGAATAACAATCAGCAGCACAATTCAAGCATGAAGAGAAAATAAATTGCATACTTTAAAAAAAAAATCAATGGCCTTGAGCATGAAAATGAAAATAACAAATTTGCATTACATGAGCTGACACACATATATTAGGAAGATCAGCTCACATACTATATAAAATTCTCTTTGTTCTCAGATACTTGCAATGCCATGATTTTATAAGCAAAGTGTAGGTCCAAGTAAAATCTCACAATAAGCAAAAAAGCCCAAAGGTAGAAGAGAAAAAAAATAGAAATTGTTATGCTGCCTTGTGACTTCACAGTACTTTCATGGAACTATGGTCTATATGTACAAAGATGTTTTTCCAAACTCTACATTGTTAGAGCAAACCAAAATTGTCTGGGGGCTGGTAGAGATAAAGTTAAATATAAAGGGAAATAATATATATAAAAGGGCATTTTATTTTTTTTGCCCAGATCAGAGAATGAGAATAGGGCCGGCCTGTATCTACTGGTTGAGAACTAGTTCACACAACCATCATGGTTAGAACATTACTCTGATGGTTTAAAAACATGCCAGGCACATGTGTGTACGTGTGCCCAAACCCTGATAAGGTGGAGAAATGGAGGAGAAGGGACTATGGCTTGACCATACTCCATTGGAGGGTACTTTCTCCCTCTTTTTCTCTCTGGCATTCTTTGGTGAGCAGAACAGATATACCCTCTAGCAATTGAAAAAAGAAAAAGGAACAAAAATTAAATTAGTAAGTTACAATAGCATAAAAACCAGTCTAATTTGTTCACTTATATTCCCAGTGACTGGAATTATGTCTGAGCTGGGGTCAGAACTTAATGCATACTTCACAATTAGACAATTAAAATTCAATTTGATAAAAAAAAAATTTGGAGAAAAATTTGGGAAATAAATATCAAAACTCCTAAGATTTACCCTTCATATTGCAATTTTACCTGGAAAGCTGTCTTAACAAAAGAATTTTCACTTAATAAAAATATAAAATATGTACATTCATAAATTCCTTTAACATATTTAATTATAATAATATAAATTAGAAATAAGCAATACATCCTATAATGGCAAATTAAGTTAAATGAAGTACTAAATAGCTAATGAAACATTTTTAAGAGGAATTTTTAAACTCAGGAAAGGGAAATAATATATTCTAAGTGAAAAAATAGAATATAAACTAGTATGTACAGATATATCCTAATTTTGTTTAAAACTTTATATATATGTATATTTAATATGTCTATATATAAAATATATGTGTGTATGTGTGTGTGTGTATATATATATATATGAATGGTAATTTTTTGGGGGGGAGAGGTTTTTGCTATAGTGCGCGTGCTCTCGCCAGACAGACAGAGAGAGAGACAGAGAGACAGAAAGCGAGAAATCACCCCCCAGGGGGGATGGCCATGCCGCAATCCCTTCTCCTCCATTCTCTCAAGATCTTGGGCACACACGCACACGCGCCCGGCATGAGTTTAAGTTGGGACATAAAACGCGGTCGACTACGTGGGAGTCCAACGACATAGCCATTACACTAACTGCTGGTCCCATGAATGGTAATTTTTTAATGTTAGGTGATTACAGGTGCTTTTTCTTCTTGGTGCTTTCATGATTTTCCATAAAAAAATATGTGTAACATTAATACCATTACTTTTTTATTTTAAGAGAGATGCGGGTGCTTGCCAAAGAAACAAAGAGAGAGAAAGCAAGAAATCACCACCCCCCCTCCCCCCCGGGAGGATGGCCACTCCACAATCCCTTCTTTTCCAGCGGGATCTCAGAATTTTGGGCGCACACACACACACACACACACACACACACATACACGTGCCTGGCGTGAGTTTTAAGCTGCCAGATCCAGGATTCAAACCATGATCTACTATGGGGGAGTCCAGCGACCTAACCATTACGTTATCTGCTAGTCTCCCATTACTTTTTTAATATGTTGGTGAGGTATGTGTGTGTATGATTTCAAAACAAATGCAGCTAAAAGTTTTGCTATCAATAGAATAGTGGAACTTATCCCTTCCAGGTCATAAGAAACTAAGAAAATGGTAGATATTTTAATTCATAGTTACATGGATTTTAAATCAAAATCATTTCTAAATCTAAAGACTTTAACTTTACATCATTATATATATTTAGAAGTGGAACTTTTTTTAATTTTGTCAAAGAGCATATATGTATCCCAGAGACAGAGAAAAGAGAAAGAGACAGAGAGCGGTAGAGAGAGGAGGGGAAAGCACCCCTCAATGGGGTGTGCTCACATAACAGTCCATTCTCTTACATTTATCTATCCTGTTGGGATATGAGCCAGGGATGTTTCTTTCAGGCTCCCAGTGCCAGGATTTAAACTACACCGCAGGCCATGTAGGATCTAGCTCCCTTAACCAGTAGGCCACAGGGCCAGCTATAAATAAAATTTTTAAGTTTATATTTCTCCCAAATATTTAATGGCCTTATTTTCTATGATATTAACTTTGAACAAAGAAAAAAAAAGCTAAATTTGAAATTTATCTAAATCCCTGCAATATGCTCCTCATTCTTTCCTCCTAATTAAGTTTTTAATAGGACCTTAGGATTTCAAATGAGATAACAATGCAGTATTTATTTATTAGGGAACTATAACTTGCACTCCCCCCTCCACCAATACCACACACAAATACATGCATACATACAAACACACATGCATTCCTTTATGTATTGTCATCGTCCAGATGCCCATAGCATTAATTAGAGTTGAGCTATATAAAAGAACTCCAATACTAAGAAAAAATAACTGTTAACATTAATTAGCATTTTCAAGAAGGCAAAAGAAAATATATATATGCAACTACAAATGACAACATTTGTGTAAGAGAGTCAAAATGTGTAAGAGAGTAAGTAGAAAGATGCTACTTATTGTGGAGAATGGAAAAAAAGCCACTGTCTTCAAATGAAAAAGTTGATTCTGTTTATGAAAGAGAAAAGAAAAAAAAAGACATAATGGAAAGAAATCATTTTAGTGAGACATTTACAATCTCCCAATAGTATCTCATCTTTTTTCTTGCTTAGTTTTTCCGGTATTGCTACCTTTGTGGTACAAATAATTTCAGGAAAGACACATCTCAATATTTTTTCAATAATTTTTAATAATTTAATTTTGCTTACACATCCCATAAATCTATTTAATTAATAAAAACACTTCAGGAAAAAAATCAAACACTATCCTCTTCCCCCCAAAAGGAAGAAATTTCATAGCTAGTTTAATAACAAGTTCTTCTTTTATTCTTAAAATATTAAGATGCCTTAATTTTTAATTCTTACATTTTTCATCCAAAATTCAATGTCTATATTTTGAGAACATAGTTCTTTAATACACACAAAATTTCAATTTAATAATCACTAGCATTATTGGCAATATTAGCCTGTATGTTTCACAAATAAAATGGGATAAGTTTAAATATTGGGTCATTGAAAAAGTCATGACATATTTTTCTATGTTTTTCTATGCGAAAATGCATCATGACTTTTCTGATGACCCAATATACTTATATTAAATTATTTAATTAAAAAATGACAACATAAAATAATAAAAAAGTGAGGAATTAAATTTGCATAACTGAAATTTTCAACTTTTATTTTATTAGAAAATGTTCAAATTAGGGATCATTTAATGTGAAATCACCTGATATATTCAGTAATCGAGTATAATATTTCCCACTCATTGGGTTTTGTTAACTGACAAAAACATCTCAAGTATCACTGTATTTCAGGGCAATATTCATACTCCAATGATTACTATGAAATCTGGTTCAAATTTATCTTCGGTTTAAAACAGGAAAAATATATAACTATAAATATTTACATTTATCTTAAATACTATCTTTACATACTGCAAAATTTTATTTCTCTTATAAAAATCTATGACAATTTATGGTCATGTTAACATATTATGCAAAAACCATGACCTTGAATTTTGGAATAATTATTAAAGTAAAAATGGGTCTAAAAATCATCATAAAATCCAACTCATTAAACTCCAGAAAACTTAACTCTAATAAAGAAAATACTATGATACATAACAAAACTGAATTTTAATTAATTAAATAATTAAGAATGAGAAAGTTGATGTTAAGGCAGAATTATATTCCAGGAAGAATTTGGTTTGCAAAAAACTACCATCATATTTTAATACACTGTTTGATATTCTGAAAAAAAATTAATGTAGTGATTACATACTGAAAGTTGTCCAGATAAGAACTGTGGAACATCCCTCAGCATGCCAGGACTCATGGGAGAGGTAACGGAAATAGAAGGACGGTCCATTTTTTGAGATTCAAATGAGCTAGAACCTGAAATGATAATTAGATACAACAAATAAAAACAACGGCTCTTCACAACATATAATAAATTTATCATGTATCTATAAATTATTTACTTTTTCAAATGGCCACAAACTCATTATGCAAACTATTTTCTTAAGCTACATAATTTCTCAATGTCCCAATATTCTTAGAGACTTTGTTTTGTTATTAGTTTTTAGAAGCATAGTCCAGCAGGTGGAGTGGTGGTTAAGGCACCGGACTCCCACATGGCCAATCGTGGTTAAAGTCCTGGACTTGGCTTACTTTTGGGATGAACAATTGGCGTAATGTCTATGTCAGTGAACTCCCATGTAGTTGACCGCAATTGGAGTCCCTGACCCAATCAATGGCTTAAAGTTATGCCAGACGTGTGTGCCCAAGATCCTGAGAAAAGAACGGAGGGGAAGGGATTGTAGTGTAGCCATCCCCTTTGGGGGGAGGGGGGAGTGATTTCTCACTTTCTGTCTCTCTGTCTCTCTCTGTCTTTCTGACGAGTGCACACGCCCTATAGCAAAAACCTTTCAAGAAAAAAAAAAAAGCACAGTAGAATTTAGGGATTATAATAGCAATGGTGAGCCATCATTTTATGTGCCAATTTAAAAAGAGACAGTAATATAACTGATACCATCTGCTGGTCCCATAATAGCCAGATTTTAAAACTATCTCCTCAAAACAGTCCTACATAGCACCCAATTTCTCTAAAAGTAAAAGCTAGAGTCCTTATAGTGGCTTGTAAAGCCTGTACAGTTTCGCCGCCCATTGGTCCTCGACCCTTGTTCCGACCATTCCATTCTCCCCACTGCCCACTCTATTCAGCCATACTGGCCTCTTCCATTTCCTTAACTATCTTAGGCTATCCAGCCTAAGAGTCACTGCCCTGGCTGGTACTGTACCTAGAAAACTTTTCCCCAGATAGTCCACTCTTTCTAATGTTGGCTCCAGTCCTTTCTTCTCTGGGTAGTCTATTCTCATAAACATATTTCAATTACAACCTTCTCTTTCTCCTCTTTCCCATACCTCTTATTTCAATTCGAACAAGAAATGTTGGACATTGAAAAAATTTATTTGTTTAACATGAAATAGCACTCAAAAAAAGAAATAAAAAGCATCCCTTTATTTGATATGATTTAAACTTACGTGTCTACTGTTCCATTACTGTACTAATAGTAAGTCAAAACTATTACCCATTCTCCAAAAATACAAATTAGAATAAATGTAATTATTCAGTACTTTGTTCCAAACATTTCTCCCTATTTACTGAAGGTGAACTTACAAAACAAAATTTTTAAATTGGGGACACTTTGGGGATGAAACTTTTAGAAATAAATTTTTAGAAGGGATGAATACCCCTATAATTTTTTATTTTGATGATTTTATATATATAATACATGTCAAAACTTGCCTAATTGTGTACTTAATGTACTATGTATTATACTATGCCTTAACAAAAATATTAAAATCTACAGAAATGACAGTGTTGTGAGAAAAACTTAAAATACTATAGAATTTTGTACTTTTTCCCACAGTCATATTAAATACTACTAAATTTTCCAACTTTATATGAACACACTTGATAACAAAGTTATATAATAGACATTAATAAAAATCAATATCTTCATACTAATTATTAATATTCATTTAACCTTTGATAAGTGACATATTCTTCTAGTAGAAATGGAACTTACTGGACTCCAGTTGTGCATGTGTGCTATCAGGTATTCTAGGTATATCTCTGAAATGATAGTTAAAAAAAAAAAAGAGGAAACCATTTCAATAATTAATATAACTGTTTTGATCAATATTAAACTATAATTGGACAGTGTAAGATGAAAAAAACTGTGTATGGTAGCAGTATTACATAAATAAAAAACAAACAAATCTTAGTACTGTATTACTAATAAAAGTGTTTTGGGCTAACTCTACAATTTAAAAGCAGTTAAAATTAATTTGTCTTCATAGCAGATCAATAAAAATATGTATTTTTTCTATGTGCCTCACTTCACAGTATTTATTCAACATTTTTTTCTATCAATGAGAAGTTTTACCGATACATTTCATTCTATTCTATTCTTCATTTTTACCTGCTGTCCTAAATCATGAAAATTAAAGTACAAACAAAACACAAATTAAAATATTCAGATTCTGACAGAAACTTTTAAAATGTAATAACTTCATTGAGAGCAAAAGAAAATGTGACTCTTATTGGAACTTGCAAGAAGTGTACATTTTTCTTTGACATTTGATGGAAGGGGTAGATATTAATGGTTAAGGTCATTTAGAAAATTACATAAAAGACTATAAATTATTTAAAATATCAAGATGAAAAAATTTTAAATACTGATTACATATCTTTTATTACCAAGAAATGCATTTGATTAATACACAAAGCTGATACACTGTAGTTTTACCATATTACAAAACAATAAAAAGAAAAAATGAAAAATGGATATAATTTTATGTGGCAGATTCATTACTTTGAAAGGAATATGTCAATAAAATTAAGTTACCAACCTAAGTCATTTTTTTCCAACTCGAAAAGAGATCAAAATAATACAACCCAATGATTTCTTAAAAAATGAAAACTGGGCATTATTATTGTATCACAAAGACGAATTTCTGTAGTATCTAATCTAGAATGTTCTTTACCTAAATATGTATTTAATAATTGACTGTCAGTCTATATTTTTATTGTTTTGGGCATAGTATATAGCTTCTATAAAGGAAATACTGCTGTGACATTTACTGAATAATCATCATAATTTAGGTGAAAGGAATACATTTATTGTTAATTTTGAAAATTGTCAATTTAATCTATAGAAAACAATTCACAAAGCCAAAAAGTTCTTTGATATCTACTTGTTTGTATTCTGGTTATCCACTATTATTTCAAAAAGTTATGGTTTTTCTTAAACTATTCTCTCTGTCAATCACATGCCTTTCTTTCCTGTGTTGATGCCTTCATTTTGAAAATTATAAAAGTCATAGGCTATATACAGTTGATCATTTTTATAATGTAGAGAACCACAGTTTATGAAACTTACCTTAAAAGTAATTGTTACTATTGTTCCCTACCCCTACTAATGCCTGTAGCCAGCTACTGAGCTGCTAAGATAATAAAAATAATAAACATCAATCTATGTCTTCTCCTTTACTAATCAACTATATATTCTAACATGATCAGATAAAGAGGTTTTTTTTTTTTTTGGTGAGTTGCTTTTTCGCAAAAAAGGACACAAGGGCATTGTCTACAAAATAATTTCTTTTCATAATACAATCAGACATTTCTGGATTGCACATTATAACTGTTTGATGATAGTTCACACACAAGTAAAGTACTAAAACTAACTTACCCAATGGGCCTGGAAACAACAAGCTCCACTTGCGGTTCAGGTTTGGATTCCAGAATGATGTTATATACTTCCTCAAATGTGGCTCCTTGCAATAACCTTCCATTCCATTCTAACACTTCATCACCTATAGTGTGCGTCAGTAATAATAATCTCAGAAAGAAAGACTAATTCCATAAAATGCACTTTTAAACAAAGCAATCTTAAGCTTCAAAAAACTCCATAGAATAAAATCAGCATTATAGAGTAAGAAGCATATAGAGAACTGCTCCAGTGGCATAAAATTTGATGACCAGGATGATGAATATATTTCAACTCAAAAAGACAATGGTTAGTAGACAAATAATTACCTAAGTTATTTCTCTATGATTTCTTTTTTTTGGGGGGGGGTGGGGGGGAAGATATTTTTACTATAGGGCATGTGTGCTCACCAGAAAGACAGAGAGAGACAGAAAGCAATAAATCATCCCCCAAGGGGAATGGCCACGATGCAACCTCCTCCATTCTCCTCTCGGGATCTTGGGCACGGATGCACACGCACCCAGCATGAGTTTAAGCCACAGGTCCAGGACTCAAACCACAGTTGACTATATGGGAGTCCAGCGACAAAGCCATTACGCCAACTGCTGGTCCCTCTATGATTTCTTCATAAAAATTCTAATTCTGGACAACTATCAAGATTAGCTGCCTCTTTAAAAGTTTTATGACTCTATTCTCTAAGTTTCTCTCTTTCTCTCTCTCTCTCTCTCTCCATATATATATATATATATATATGCAACTGAGCTCCTTGTTTTCATCAAAGGATTTCTATATCTAAATGCTCTTAAAAATTAAGAGAGTTAATAATGTAATAAAATACATTATTAATGTAAATGTAAAATTACAGGAGTTAATCTTGTAATAAAATAATTCACATTGTACTGAATCCTCTTCAAGGCACGATTATCTCTCCAACAGAATCCATTAACCAAGAGATGAGAGTGACATTTTTTAGAACATACGCATTTATCTACAACTATGTTGAAATTTCTTTTATAAAAAATAAGGTTTATAGGAAACAAAATAGGTTAATATTAGATATAGGATAGAATATCTTTCAAGAAAAAAATAAAATCAGTAAATATAGAAATTATTTTATGTAAGACAAGAAATAATAGATATAACTTTACATTAGTGAATAAAAATTTGTATTAGTTAAATGAACTCTGTTACTGGTCAAAAACACTAAGTGAAGACAACTGTTTTATAACTACTCAAACATAATGGTCAAAATATAAGTAATCAAAGGTAGAAACCTACCTGGTCTTAGATGTCCTACAGTATCAGCTAAACTTCCTTTTTTTACTTTGGTAATAAATGCACAAAGCCGACCTGATTCAGTCATCTTTCCTCCTACAACCTGTTTAAAAGAGGAAAGTATTGTAACAGGCATATAGTTACAATGAATACAATTGAAGATTCAGGCTTAAAAAATACCTAGAACAATTTACAGTTTCTAAAATTGTAATTTAATGTTCTGAAAATAATTTCCTAAATAATAAAGTATTGCTATTAGGAATTGAGTACATGTCCTTAGAACTAACTCTTTTTACATGTTCCAAATGTTTTACAATTTGATGCATTATTTGTTGAAAATGTTCCATAATGGAGAAGCAATTTAACAATTTGTCATTTTTGACCTTATTACAGAAATCTTCTGTCATTTTCAACAACATAGTATTATGATACTACATAACTATAAAAACATTTCTTGTTATAGATTTAAAATATTATAGTACAAAATATGTTACATTTACTACTCTCATGATATACTTCCAAACTTTCTTTAGTTAGTAATCTTTTAGGTACATCAATAATGTGCATAACGATAATGAATTATTCCTGAGAAAATTATAAAATATACTTAATCATATCAGAAGTAATGTAAACTTTACAATATTTGCATCCTAATTTTTCTTTTTTGTGTTTCTATTAAAATATATATATGCAAAAGAATAAAAGATTAGAAATAATGCTGTGAAGTCATGTGTTCCTATAATACACTAGCCTCCTAAAAATTAATTAACTACCATTCAATCAAAAGTTCAACTTTATAGCAAGTAAAGCAAAGAATAGTAACAAAATTTATTGACCAAGATAATTTATTCTCACCTAAATTAAGTAAAAGATATCTAAATTTAAAAATCATTGACATCATTTATTCTATAATTACAATGAATTACACTCAGTTGCAATTAATTAATGTTAACTAACTAGTCCTATATTTGATTCTGAAAGTCAAATGTATAGATTTTATGGCTCACACTTCATGTGAACATTAAAAATAACTTTCTTGGACCAGCGGATTGCATAACAGTTAAGGTGCCAGACTCCCACATTTTCAACAGTCGTTCAAATCCCAGGCCAGTGGCTTGCAAATCAATCTAGCACATGTGCATGCATGCCCAAACTCCAGAGAAGAGAATGGAGAAATAGGGATTGCGGCATGGCCATCTCCATAGGGGGGTATAATTTCTCACTTTCCTTTCCTTTGACTCTCTATATCGCTCTCCAGTGAGCACATCCACCCTATGATAAAAACCTAAAAATAAATAAATAAATGAATAAAAAAATAACAACTTTGTAGGCTTAATAATCTTGAATAATAGCAATTAATTATACTGAGTGTTATTATTGAAATCTTAAGGTTTGAGGGGCAACACAGTAGATGTTTACATTAATTAATCTTCTTATAGCAAATACAATAGTATTAGTATCCCCACTGAACACATCATGAATCTGAGGGTAAGAGAATTTGAGTTGCCTGAGTAATGATAACTGGAATTCAAGGCTTCCTAATCTCTATACCATGCTGCTCTAACACTACACTGGGCAGATCTATATTTTACTCCCACTATCATCACTATCTTGTGACCATGTGCAAATTATGACACCTGCCCAAGCCTATTTCTCATCTGTTGTGAGTGGTAGAAAAGATGATAGATATAAAATATAATTTTACCATTGGCACATGAGTGCCAGTCTCATATTAGCTATCCAATAGATGATACCAGCTCAGTTCTATCTATACTCAAAGTTTTCTAATTTCTCCTACACTATTTCATAGGAGAAATTCTGTAGCAATGACTTACCTGTATACACACACACACACACACACACACACACACACACATATATATGTATATATGTATATACTCTTTTTCAATTTAAGTTTGTAATTGGTCATACTAGATGCATAAAAACAAACAGATCTCTCTTTGGTGTATTTACTCAATAATTTTCTAGTATGTTACAGTAAAACATGTCAGTATTTATATTTAATCTCCTAACATAATTCTTTTTGAGTTCCCAGATTTCCAACAGTACTTTTTTCTCTTTCATGTGCATGTGTGAGCACACATACATTTTACTACTTTAATACAAAATGATATTCCTATTTTAAGCACATTCTACATTTCCTTAGTTAATATATTGAATAATTAAATAAAAACATCATGTTAATAGAATATAAATATAGATACAGACTTAAAGAACTAACAGTATAGGTTAAAAAAAAGTTTGGACATAGTATTTAGGATTCAAATTTATCCTAATTAGGTTACTTCTAAGGTCTTCCGAAATCACTGATGTGAGTATCATTGTGGAATAATGGCAACTTCTTAAATAATTCTAGGGAAAATGAAAATGTTGGATGAGCACAAATATTCTTAAAATATTATAACATTTTTAAATATTAGGGGAAAATAATAAACACTGACGCAGTATAATTAGAATGAGTTATTATACCCTCTCCTTCCCTGGCAAATGTGTAAAAAGACAAAACGTCATACGTTTATTACATACCTTCAAACCAAGCATTGCTCCTGAATCTCGAGGTACACTTCCATCTTTTAGTCGCTTATTTAATAAAATGCGACCAATTAAGCGATCTCCATCTTTAGATGGCTGCCAGGTTACAGGGTGCTGATGTATTGCATCACAAACAAAAATATTTAATGTTCTTTTATGACATATGATCTCTGATAGTTCAATCTCATTAAACTTCAGAATTCTAAAGTGTTATGATTACACAAGCCAGTTTGTATTCCAAAATGCTGATCAAAAGAGCTTACTACATTACACTTATAACCTTAATTTTGCAATCTCTGGTGCTTTTCAAAATCCAATTACTCTAAATTCTTAGTTCTCTGGCAGAATACTGAAGTTATACAGGTTTACAAAATCTGAGAAATCTTGAAAATATATGCAAACTTTATGCAAAGAAGATTAACTAAATTCACAAGCAGAAAAGATGGATTAAATTCTATATAGTTGAAGTCATTTAAAGTTGAGAATTTCCTTTTCCAATACTTCAGAAAGATTTTGAAAGACTGTATTACAGTAAAAGTTTAAAGGTCAAATCATATAAAACATGAAAGGTAGACCTATGATAAGGACTTTCCAGATAACCACTATAAAAAAAGGTGCAAGTCCCAGTTGATTCTGTATGGGAAATGGGCTTCAAAAGTAAAGATGGATTACATTTCTCACTTCTTGGAGATTCATTGATTTTTTTATAAGGTCTTTGATTTAGCACATAACCTTTTGGATAGATAATTCAGTGGTATCCATTGTTAAATACCTTGAAAACATTAGTAGTTTACTTATGGCAAAACCAAGATCTTTATAAATAATGACACCATTCTATTATAAATGATATGCTAAATAGCAAAGTAAATGATTTGTGTAATCATAATACTTTCGGTTATATAAAAGTAACATGCATATCTTCATGCAAAATTTAACAGGCCAAAGACAAATCCCAATCAATCACACATCTATATGGTAAAACGATTTCAAAAGTCCCACTATGCTAAAAGCAAAACTAATAAATATCAAAGCAGATGGCAGTTGCTCTAATACTAATTACTACTATGTTGAAATGCTATGACAATAAAACAAAAGAGCAAAATGACAGTGAAAGGGAAAAAAGAAAAACAACTTTTTTCTGTGCAAATAGACCCAATTATCTCCCTTTTGCCTGCAGTTCAAACTAGGAATTTTGTTTCCATCCCAAGGAAAATATATGCAAGCAATCAAATAAGCCAAATAAGCCAATCCAAAAAATTGATTATTATTTGTGGTTTATAATAATATTAGAAGGTTCTCCCATGCAACCATAGATAAAGCATTCCTTTGTTCCTAAGTTTTATTTCATTTACTTATTTTTGGTATGCTGTCAAACAATAAAAACAGCAAAGCAAGCAAGAGGTATTTTGGTTTGTTCATCGGTTTGGTTTTGTTTTTCTTTTCTGCACCTTAAGAAATGCTACATTGACCCTTGAAATGCCCTGTCCTTTTTATTATGTTCTGTTTTAATGAGTGACAGAGAGCAAACGAAGACCAAATGAGCAGGTTAAAAGGCAGGCTCCACAATCTCAGTACCTTATCACTATGGCTATGCTCCTCGTTAAGGGTTGTGCTACTACAGGTATCTACCCCAGAATCCTTAATCTGAGGCTCAGACCATTCCAAATCCTCTTCCAAAGAGTGGCCACCAAAGAACATCATTTTCTTTTGTCTTTCAGACCTGGTGTTAGAGTCCGACAAAACTGCCTGCTCACTAGTTTTTCTTTTTCCCTTTTGACTGTCCCCTACAGGTATGGGATAAAAAAATAAAAATAAAAAAAAAGATACAAAAAAGAAAACATGCAAAGGTATAAATAAAAAAGGAAACGTGAAATGATAACGGAAATTAAATAGTAAGGCTCCACATGTCTCACCAAAGACATTGGGGATGCCTCACTGCTATGCCAAGACGTATGGTCCAACCAGTTGTAATCCATGTCTCCTGTGAGAGTCAGACAAAAGAGTGCAGTAAAGGAGACAGCAGAAGAAAAGACAGACAGAGACGTTATAAACATTTTAAACTGCAATCCTGTCTGGCTTAAGAACTTTGTAGCACTCATTATATATACCAGGAGAAAACTAAGATTTCAAATGAATAAAATTTAAGAAAAGTAAAATATAAGATTTTTGTATTTTAGACAGAATAAAAGTCCTATGAAAAGAAAAAAAAAGCTAATAATAAACAGGAACAAACAAAAAATTATATATGCTGAAATAGACTACCAGCTATTTTATTTTATGCTGGCCTAAAGACCTCAGTTTATTCTCCACAGATTAAGGAACATTTAAAAAATTAAATAATGGTTTGGCATTTTTTTTATTTATAAAAAAAAGCCACTATTTTTGTTTGTTTGTTTTTTAGGATTTTGCCATAGGGCGCTTAAAAAAAGAGACAGACAGAGAAAGGGAAAGTGAGAAATCATTCCCCGGGAGGATGGCCACACTGCAACCTTTCTCCTCCGTTCTCTTGGAATTTTGAGCATACACGTACATGTGCCCAGTGTGATTTTGAAGCCTCAGAGTCCGGAATCAGCCACGTGGGAGTCCAGTACCTTAACCACTGCACTGTGGCTCAGTAACCACTATTTTTAAAAGACAAATAATTAAATCTTGTTCTTGGAATGAAGTATATTAGTCTATAATGCTGAAACTTCCTTAAAACTTTGGTTGGTAAAAAAAAATAAAGGAAAAGAAAAGAAAAAAGAAAGAAATGGAATTGTTTACGACAGATTGTTTTTGTGTAAAAATGAAGAAACTGATTCATTCAATTTCTATTAGTAACAAAGAGATCAACTTGACTTAATCATAAATTTCTTAAGGTAACTTTGAAACACTTTTTCAACATTTTTTCAGAAATTGCACTTACAATAAGTAATTTTACATTTTTTTTTTCTGGACAGTTCATGTAATTGGCAACTAAGAACAAATATCCTTTTCTCAAACTCAGGTGCTTTCTTATTGACTCTATAATTGAAAAAGAACTTCTCTTTAGTCTTTATGTGCACTTACACATTTTTAAACTCCAGTCATACTTTCTATTATTAAAACTACTAACTGAACACTTTCTACTTGCTATGAGGAGCTAAGTCCTAGTATAGGAGGTAAAAGAATGAAATATGCTTACAACAGAGCACAATAAACATTATTAACCATCAATATCATAAAGAAAAATGCAAAACACTACCAGAAAGTAACACAAGATCTAATTTAGATTTGAGGCCAGCAAACACCTCTATGCATTGATGTTTAAGAAAAGAACTGAAAGATGTGACCTAATGAATGAATAAGAAGCTGGACTGATGAAAATTAGAGGGAAGAGCATCCAGGCAGTAACAAGTTAAAAAACTGAAGGAAATAGAATGAACCAAATGGAATGACAGAAATAATAGCACTAAATAAAACTGGCAAGGCAGCACAGACCAGTTTAGATAAGCCTTTTTATGCTATACTAAAGACTCTGGGTTTTAACCATTGAATGTTTTTAAGCAAAATGATGAATGAAGATAAATCTCAGGACCAGCAGATAGCGTAATGGTTAGATTGCTGGACACCCACGTAGTCAACCATGATTTGAGTCCCAGACCCGGTGGCTTAAAACTCATGCTGGGTATTTGTGCCCAAAATCCCAAGGGGAGAATGTAGGAGGGACCATGGCATAGTCATCCTCTCTCGGGAGTGATTTCTTGCTATTTGTCTCTCTCTCTCTACAGTGAGCACACATGCCCTATAGCGAAAATCTTCCTATTAAATAAAAAAAAAGGATGAATCCAATTTCTATATAGAGACTGGTGGGAAGACACTAGGAGTTAAAAGACATTTTCAGTAATTCATGGGAAAGGTTATTATGGCCTAAATAAAAGTGATGGCAGTAGGCATGGTTAAGAAAAGAAGTAACTGAGAGATGTTTGAAGTTAAATAAAAAAAAAGGATGAATCCAATTTCTATATAGAGACTGGTGGGAAGACACTAGGAGTTAAAAGACATTTTCAGTAATTCATGGGAAAGGTTATTATGGCCTAAATAAAAGTGATGGCAGTAGGCATGGTAAGAAAAGAAGTAACTGTTTGAAGGCTGAACGTTAATTCACATTCCTGGCATTAACAACCAAATGAAAGAAAGAAAATTTATGAGATGGGATAGACTTTTTGTTAGGGAATGGGTTGGAGGGAATTACTCTAGTTCATAAAATCTAAGATGCCATTGACTATGTGAATAATAAATTTCATGACACTAAAGTGATAAAAATGTGCATCTTAGAATTTTTTAAATATAGCAGTTAATTTTAGATATATTGTTAAAAATGCCAATAAGTTACAAGCTGAAATATTAAAAAGCAATCAGTCAAGCTGTGTAAGTAGCAGTTTTGATCTGAAGACATAAGTTGGGAATATTAGCATACAGACAGGAGTGAGATCACTTAAGGAACAGAAGGTAAATTCTAAAATTTTGAGTTCAATTTGAAGATAAAAATAAATTGAGAAAGAGGATACAGAGAAAGAAAGAAGGAAGACTAATAAAGGGTGGTCACCGAAACAAACAGAAGTGCCTTTCCTAAAAAGAAGAAATCAACTATATTGAATCAATTCTACACCATAAAATCAGAAACTTAAAAGTGTGCATTTGATTTGACAACATGAAAACTGGAAATAATGTTAGAGTAATTTGGCTAGAATGGTGAAAATTAAAATTGTATTTAACTATAGAACAGAGAAAACAAATGAATGACTCAATGAACTTGAAGACTGAACAACGGAAATAGTCCAATCTGCAAAACAGATGCAAAGTAAAACCAAAGTCTCATGAACCTGAAAAAGTATAACAAAAGATCTACCATTCATGTCACTGTAGTTCTAGGAGACGAAAAACTGAATAGGGTTGAAAAGTAATCAAAGAAATAATAGATGAAAATTTTCTTAATTTGGCAATAGATATAGGCTTATAGATTCAAGAGCCTATGTTAATCTCGAAACAAGAAGTTCTCAAAGATATTTGTTCCAAGATGCAACATGATTAAACTAATACCTAGAAACAATATATCTTGAAAGCAGCAAGAAAGTAACATCTTAACTAAAGGGGAAAAGGAATTCAAATGACAGCAGATTTCTCATCAAAAACTTTAGAGGCCAGAAGGAAGTAGCACAATACTTTTCAATTGCTCAAAGTAAAGAAATGTGAACCTGAATTCTAAATATGATGTAATTATCTTTCAAGAATGAGTGAAAAATAAAGACATTCTCAGACAAAAGAAACCTTAAGAAAATTTGTTATCTAGACCCACCCCTGGCTGAACGAAGTTCTGGAAACAAAAGGGAAACAAAAAGAAGAAACCTGGAAATATTGAGAAAGAATAAAGAATATGGTAAGAAAAAAAAAGGAGTAAATACAATAGTCTTTTCTTATACTCTTAAGTTTTCTAAATAATGCTTGATGTTTGAAGTGCACAGTTTACCTTGTCTTATGTGATTTTCAATACATGTAAAAAATATTTTAGACAATTACATTACAAGCAGAGAAAGGTAAAGAAACTTTAAGGCTAACAGGTTCCTATATTTCACTCTAACTAGTTAAATGTCAATACCAGTAGAATATGGTAAATTGCACATGTATTATATATTACCTAGAGCAACCACTTTAAAAACTGAAAAAATTACTTATAAAACAGTACAGATGAACTAAAACTGCTATTTTTAAAAAGTTCATACAACCCAAGGAAGTAAAGGAAAGGAAAACAAAAAACTGAAATCAGAGGGAACAAACAGAAAAGAAAAAAGCAAATGATAAACAATGATAAGACTGCATACTAATATCCATCATAAAAATAGATACAGAAAGCCTTAACAACATATTTGCAAATAGAATTCAGTAAGTTATATAAACAATTACACATTATGACCAAATAGGGTTTATTCCTGGAATGAAAGGCTGGTTAAATAATCAAAAATCAATGTACCATATTGAAAATTTCACGTGATCATATCCATTGATCACTGATGCCAAAAAGCATTCATAATCAAAAAATAATTCACAGAAAACAAGGTTTTAGGAGAAATTGTTCAAATTAATAGAGGACAACAAAAAATCTACAGCTAAGATCAGACTTAATAGTGAAAGGCTGGAACACTTCATATGAGGAGAAATTTCAGAAAAACAAATATCTTTATTTACAATACTCAAAAAGCAGGACACAACCAAAATGCCCTTCAATAGATGAAGAATGACTAAAGAAGCCGTGGTATATAACCACACCATGGAATGTTACTCAATAATATAATAGAAAGTAAAAAAAAAAAAAAAAATACTATTGATACATACAACATAGACTGACCTCAAGGGTATTATGCTGATGAAAAAAAAATTAATGTGACATACCATATGATTTCATTCATATTACATTTTCTGAATGATAAAATTATAGAGATGAAGAACATACTAATGGCTGACAAAAGTTAGTTGTGAGGTGTAGAATGTTACTATAAAGAAGTAGCACAAGGAAGACATTTACAGTAGTAGAGCAGTTCCGTATCTTTGTAGCAGTGGTGGTTACATGAATTTGTATATATGATAAGATGACCTAGAACTGTACATATGCATCATTCCATTTTCAGTTTCTTAATTTTAGCTACATAAAATGTAACCCTTAGGAAAGAAATGGTGACGGGTATACGGTATCTCACTGTACTATCTTTGCAACTTTCTATAAATCTGTGATTATTTCAAATTATAAAGCTAAAATTAATGTGTTGTCGGCTTCATAAATAGTCACCAGACTGTTGAGAGGTTTAAATAAGATAATACTCATAAGAGCTGGACAGCAGGTGGCATAGTGGTTAAGGCACTTGACATTCCCACATGACTGGCCATGGTTCAAGTCCCAGACCTGGTGGCTGGCTTTCTCACTTTCCTTCTCTCTGTGTGTCTGTCTTTCTCTGATCAAATTAAAAC